CGCTCCACGCGATACATGTGTGCAAAACGCCCCGGTGTATCTGCGAGCAAAGGTCATCCACGAAGGCAATTGTGCGTCCTCGTCTCGCCGCTTTAATATCAACGTCGATAGGCGATCTGCGTGCATTCGGCGCGACAGGATAATCACCGTGTCTCTCAAGGCTCGGTATTTAGATCCGTGTTTTATTTTTTCTTGTTTTTGTTTTTCTCTCCGTAGTAAAAAAATATCGTCGAGCAACATTCCGAAATCGCGCCTCTCACACAGAGATATACTGATATATTCGACGGTAATTTATATGCAAATTGATCACAAATCTGCAAAAACTCGCTTACACACACATCGCACATTCATAGATCATAGCAATTATTCATTATGCAGCATAATTGGCCACTATAATGCATGGACGATTCATTTTTTAAATAATCGAAGGCGAATTTCGATTTATATGTTCTCTCTCTCTCTCTCTCTTTTTCTCTCCTACATCATTTTATTTTGCGCAGGATTGCACAGGTAGGTAAGACAGAGAGAGGAGGGACGAAAAAATTCTACGCGTGCGAGATCACATTCGACCTTCCGAATGACGGACGACCTTCGTTTTAGGGTTGCGTTGATGTTGGTTCGGTCGATGATTTCAGAACGACCCACTTTTCTCATTGCGATGCTTAGATTCGACACTGCTAGAATGGTAAAGTGGGTCACGCGTAAAAGTAACTGTTACGGCAGCGACGTTTCGTGTCAGTCGCGACTGACCGCGGCGCGATGGAATACCATCTTTGAGCCGGAGGGGCCTATGTGCGTGTTTTCACGTGTGCAACACATACTGTATATGCACACATCTTCGCCCGTGTTACGTGCCGCGTTGTTACATGTGCACATGAATAGGCAGGTATGTGTAAACGGCTCAAGGAGGAAACGCTTATAACCCGAGAAGACAATAATGCGCGAAGGAACTTCCGTCTTCGTAATTCGTCCCTGAAGAAAACCGTCATGTGTCCTCTACTTTTTTAGGCGCAGATCGAAAACTTACGAAACACAACCGTCGAGCAACAAAGTTTGACGTGGAGAAGGGGAAAGAGAGAGAGAGAGAGAGAGAAACGTGTATTTTTAATACTTTAAACGCGATTGACGCGCGAGTGAGTTTCTTCGTACACACGTTTAATAACCAAGACGTATCTTTCTCCCAAAGACGTGAATTTTTAAGCTCAACTCGCGATTTAATTCCACTCGCACGGAGTTATTGTCATCGCGCGCAGAAAAGAATTTATTTATATTGTAAAAGGTACTTTTTATCGAGAGCATAACGTAACAACAGTTGACTCACGCTGTTTTGCGCTTGTGCAATAGGTGAAAACAAAGTTTACAAAATCACTCATGATCGAATCGAACGATTTGATCGTAGTATCGGCGACAGTTTTTATTGAAAATTTAAATGGTTGGTGCAAATAACGTCGTTATCGCACGTATGCGATACTTTAGACCAGATATGTAATTAAAACACTTTACGTCAAATGTGTTTCGGAGAAATCAAATCGGAAATTCTTTGCGATAATAGGACGACGTTTCTACGTAGAACGGAAAGAAGTACTGAGAAGATTTTTCCGCATTTGTCGGAAAAACGGTTAATGCGATTTAATCGAGTTCTCGAAATGCGAGTCTTATCGAAACGAAAACCCGCCGAAGCCTTTCCGTAATGGTGGCAATAACGCGCGCGCCATGTTCCCGGGTAAAACCTACACCTATATATATAAGCGAGTACTCTAAGAAACCGAGTGAAAGGCAACAATGTGAAGGCGAGCGCCCGACACACACACACACATATATATATGTATATATATATATACATATATATGTATATGTAACACATGATCGAGCACGCGCGCAAATTGTCAGACACTCACAGATACAAACACATACACGTACACACAATCCCCGAACAAAAAGGCTATCCGCTAATCGCGTCTCGTACGAATACCAACTATTGACGTTCATGACGAAGTTGTACTAGTAGAAGAAACAAGAGAGAAGAGATCCACATTATGGAAAAAAAAAAAAAAATAAGAGAGAAAAAAGAGGAAGATATACGACGTAGATCAGCATATGTGTCAAAGCCGCGACGTTTCTACGTATGCGGAGAGGCCCGGCCGTCGTCGATTGTCACACACGTATCGTGCCCGATCGTGCCGAGCATTGCTGCTACACATGAAATCGCGCACGCACACGTATTACATGTACGAGAGGCGCAAGTGCATCGACGCGACGCGCGAGCGTTGTGTGGAGGAGAAGGCGCGAGCGGAGAGATCGGTTCTCCCTGGATACGTCAATCGCGACAAGGACATCCGCTGAACGAATTATATTAGAATAATCGCGTTCTACGTTTCTAGAGTCCCCGGAGCGCGCCTTGAAACCGGTGTGTGGAAAATAGAAAAAATTCCACGAAAGGAAAAAACAATCTTTTTTCTTCTTTAAATAAAACACCAATAAATATGTAAGATAAAATATTGAATAATATTATTGAGGACCGTAGTGAAGTTTAAAATTCGATAGCTCGAGAACACACAAAGAGGAGCAATACATATGTACATTAAATAAAGTTTACTGCGTACGTACGTGAACTTTTTAAATCACGGAAATCCGCAGCGAATTCTCGTAAAATCCGCGCGGTTCGAAAACACAAATCCCTAAAGAATAAATTCCCCGACATCGACAATGTATGGACCCTGAGGCGTAAATCCCACCGCGCTGGCTACTTGCGAAAAGGTCAACGCATCGATCTTCGAGATTTTTAACCGTGGCAGACTACCAAAGGTTAGAATGAAATAGAAAGCAACGTTATGTTGACCGCGATCTAATCTCAATGATATGAATGAGAGAGATAATTAAAGACTTGATGAAAATCAGCGGCGCGTTCATTGGGTTATTTGGAAAATAAATTTCGCACGTATGAACAAAAACACATTATTCGTTGGTGTACCAAAAACGCGACAACGTGCAGAGAAGCGACGCCGCACATGCCAGTAGATTTTCAAGCAACTTTACAATTCCGATTATTTCGAACCGTCTCTCTGCATCATCTCCCCGATTTCGTCGAGATTTCGTCGCTTGAATATTTTCCGTTCGGTCATGGCCATTTTCGAGAAACGCGTATAAGTTTCAACGAGGTTTCTATTACAAAGTATTCGATTCGAAAGTAATCACGTATACATAGCTTTTAGAAAGGGACACTTTAAGAAAAGAGAATCTCTCAATTTCAAAACTCGAGTAAGAGAAAATGAAGTTAAGACACACCCTGTTGTTTTTTTTCTCTCTCTGTTTTTTAAGTAAAATGACGTTTATTTTCTTGAGGTATTGCATTGCAATTAGCGACAGGTTTACCTCGTCGAATTCGTCTCTGTACGGTCTGTTGCAACACACGCGCAGGTAAGTAAACGATATAACGACGACCAAGCCCGAGAGCAAGGGGGAAACCGATGAAGGACGAGGGGAAACAGGTCAATTACCTCCAGATCACCGAGAGAGATTTCGTATCGACGATCGGCCGCGCTCTTGTCGTTAAGGAACGATGCCAGTGGCATATGGCTGTTACGTGTGGCAAAGGCATACTTTTCAAACATCGTCACAGACCACTTTTTCGAACGCGCATAAGTAATTCGCCTTAACGCCTTAGCGCCTTTCATTACGTCTTCAACGTCTTTCCGAAGTAAAAACATTGGATTTCACAAATTGTCCGATCTCTGAGTTATTAATCGCATTAGCAATTTTCAATTTATCAGCTAGATATTTTTAAAAATACACGGAACAATAATGTTAAAATATTTATATTTTAAAATATTATCATGTCTCCTTTTTTTAAATATATTTTTGCGTAAATTGCGATTTAATTCCGCATTTTTAATTAATAAAAGCTTGCTAATGATACAATTCGGCTGCGTGATTTTTAATTTTTTTCCAATGTGATAAAAAAATACATCCGATGTGTTCAAAGGGAGTTTAGGAAGGTTTCAGAGACCGAACTGCGACGGTGAGAGAAAATGGTGTATAACCTTGCTCGGACGACCTCGATCGCCTTCACCGAGGAACCTTCGGTGTGTAGAGCCGTGACGAACACACACAAACACATTCATACACATACGATTTTGCGATCGTTCGGTCGACTGAAAGATCGAGCTCCCGGTGCAGCGCCGCGCACTGTCGTATTGACATCTTTTTCATACTTGTCCGCGAAAAGATAAAACTTTAATAGATACAAATATATAAATGTACACACACGTGTGTCAAAGAAATATGAAAAATTTATACTATAATGAAAAGATGGTTATATAAAACGCAGGTAGAAAATTGTGAATTTCTTGAATTGCGTAAAAGATAAATAGAGTGCGATATAAAATACTGATAATTCAAGACCAGCTTATGTCGGTAAATCAGAAGAAAAATGTCAACGGCGCACCCGCTCGACGCGTCCTCTCACTCTCACTTTTTTTTCGTCGAAAGAAAATTTCACCGTTCTCTCCTCTTTCTCTCCCTTCGGACGGCGAAAAGCCTCGCTTCGCGCGGGATTTTTTTTTAAGTAACCGGCAAGATCTCCGCGAAACGTCCTTTAACCGCACAATTTATTTCCGCAGTAACTTCTACGACAAATACATCACGAAAATTCGCGGATCAATATCTCGCGATAATTAGTGAGTCATCATACAATATGGATATTGACATACACGCGGAAAATATTCTCGCGCGAGCGTTTTACACGTGCTAATCGTTTTGACAAATGATCTAAGAAAAAGAGAGAGAAAGAGAGAAAAGATAGCTTTACTATTTTTTTCTCTGTAACGACGAAATTTTTTTCGTTCAAGCATGTTGGAAAAATCACAATCTCAATATCTGTTTGCGATCCACAAACGTCCTATTATCTCCGTCGTAATCTTTTCACGTCGCATTGACCGATAACGTGACAGATTTCGACGCTACATAGTTCTCGAATATCGACAGAAAACAAATTCACTTACCCCCTCGTTGCGTAGGAACTGTATAGTAGGTTTGCCGTTGATTTTAGTCTAAAAAAGAAAAAAAAACATAGATTAGTTTCTCTTTAAAAGCATACGGTACTAGAGCAATTAATGTTACAGCGTATTTGATTCTTAGGGCCAAAGTTTCGCCATCTCCAATTATCTTAATCGGCCGATTATTCCGCTGGAATTAACCAATCTCACAGATCGATTATAGCCGAATTTGCCGATCACTCAGCGGGGGCTTAATCAACCGATTAACTTATCTTTTTTTCATCACCGGAGACAATAATGAAAAAATGGCCATTAGTTGTTTTTTTCTCTTTAATTTCTTTCATTGTCAGTAAATAGTACTTAAAGCAATAACATACACTTAAAGAGAACTTAATAATACATTACGTATACATTACGTATACATTAAAAAATGATATTATTTCAAACTGTTTCCTCGGATAAGATACGCAAGTAAAATTCGAAAGGCATTTCGTCGTTCGCGAAGCGCCGCGACAGTTGATTCGAACAGGTCGTTTAGCATAATTACTCATGCGACACAGTTCCGATCGCACGTCCAACTTGGCCACACGGGCAATGAGCCACGGGTGTAAATTGACAAAGCGAACGCGTGCGCGCATCCGCGCACAAAGAGACAAACGCGTAAAACACGCGGAGGATTTCGCGTGAAATTGAACAGCGCGCGATCTCGTAATCGCGCGACAAATTGCATTATGTCGCACACGCGGGCGGCGATTTCTGCGTGTAACTTTTACTTATGCGCCCGCGTGACAGAGCTCGCACATATAAAAGGGAAAGTACGCCACGGAAGAAGCTCCTTTGCGTCCATACTCGAACAAGTCGTAGATCATTCCGGATTGATAAAAACTAAATAGAGACATACGATCTTGCTTCGATTAGAAAATATCGAGTTTGTAAAGGAATTCGATTCAATGAAGAATCAGGTAGTTTATTTTCAAGGGATAAGCGATAATCAACCGTTTGAATAAGAGAAAAAGAGAGGAAGAATTAAAAGTAAATATGGTAAAAAGCGACCCGGGTATAGATTAGATTATTCAACCTCGAGGTTGACTGATAAAACACAAAAAGTAAGTCGTAAAGCTACAAACTTTTGTGACTGACTCGCAGCGACGGAAACAAAGACGGTATTGCAGCTGAAAAAAAATTCTGAATTCTTATCGAAGAAGATACCGCGCGAGTTTCGCTTTCATCTGCGTACACGATGATTCGATCCTGGAATTTCTTTTTATAAGACGTGTTCACGATTTATTATTGCTATCGGCCGTGCAGCAGCGATGCGCGCTTAATGGCACGTATATGAAAAGCTTACACGGTTTCCACTTATCGTCGGCGCTTGAAGCTTGTTGGGACGCGCACGCGCGGTGGCACGCGAGAAAATTAATCGCACCGCGGAAGATCGCGTTTATCCGAGCGAGTTGGGTCGGCCAAGATTGACCCGAGCAATCGCGCGTTATGAGCGCGTCGAGTTCGCGAAAGGTGAAAAATTATTTCCGTCTTTCCCGCGCGGAGCGATAGCACGCGCGTGGAAAATCGTCCCTGCGCGATTTCACGCACGCGTATACTTTCCTTTCTAATCTTTCAGATTGAAACAAACGCGCGCACTACAGATCTTTCCGACTTATTAAAAATATTTTCCAAAACTTGTTACCGAACTCGGCAACTTTATTTTTAGTCAAACATTATCGCGACGATTGCTTTAATTTACTGCATTATTTTCTTTTATTGTATTTCTATCGCACTGAATTAAATATAAATTCAAATTTTAAAAAACAATTTGCGCAATTTACATCTTATTACGATACACTTGGCTTTTACATTTGCCGCTTTATTATTTCTCTTAGACGGTTTTTATAAACAATCGCGGAAATGCGTATTTATATTTGATCAATACAGCAAGAGCGATCGAAAGCGACGGGGTGCTCCGACTTTCTGGCTAAACAATTTAAATTAAAGAATAAGGTCTATGCAAGAAACGAAATCCACGAACGTAATATAGCGTGTTCTTGCTTCTTTCTTGTATGTATGCTAAACCTATATATCGGCCGACGCGAGGCGCGCAGAGACTTGCGTGCTTTCACTGATCCGACCGGCGATAATTCCTCGGAAATCTCGACTGAGGTGACGGTTACACTTTGGTGGCTCGCGGAAAAAGTGATGGCATTAGACGACGACCGAGAGAAGTCCATTATGGTCGGCCGTCGCGGCGCAAAGATTTTACGAGCTGTGCTCGACTCTGTCACGCTCGCATGACAGAATGTCGTCGCGCACGAGCGTGTGTGTGTGTGTGTGTGTGTGTGTGTGTGTGTAGCACAGGTGTGGGGTGAGGAGGGAGATAACCACACGCGGCGTAATACGCCGGGCAATTATATTTCCACGGCGTGTTACATAAACGCGACGGAATAATCAAGCGTCACCCCGCTCGGTCGCTTTCACTCAATAAAGGGATTCATTACAGTTTTAATTATTCTAATAACCGCCTGCGCGCGTGATCGTTTCGTTATTCGAAAGCATGTCTCTCGCCAATCATTGTAGATTCAAAAACATTTATCCGTACGTTGATGTTTACCTTAATACGCGCGGTGAAAAGTACAAATGCGCGCGTCTACTTTGCGCACGAATATCGCAAGAAACAGTTTCCGGACAAGAAGAGACACCGTTTGAACAAAATTGGAATGGAACACCCTATGTATGTGTTCAAGGATTAAGGACGCGTGCGCATTCACACACACACACACACGCGCGCGCGCGTGATGTCGGAAGACAAAGTGTCTCCCTCCTGAGTCTTTCTTCCCCGTGGCGAGGAATAAGCGAAATTTCGTCGTCGCCACCATCGCTGCCGATGCGAATCGTTGACCCTATCGGATGGAGAGAAAAATGGCGACAACAAGACGAATAAAAAGAGGGTTCGTCTGCTTGTTGATTGAATTCATTTAAATTTTGGTTCAGGCCACGTAAATGAAAACAAAGTGTAAATGAAAGAAAAACAGGATAATTTTTTTCTCAGTCCAAAAAATATACAAACTTTGTAAACGTGTAATAAAGTAATGTAATTTATATCTATTGTTATTGTGGTCAAAAATCTAAATTATAATTGTCTAAATTTGATCAATCAAATACGTTTATAAACGATCTGTTTCTCTCTGCTTTTCCACCACTGTGTACGACAACGAGACGTCTCGTGCACCACGCGAACGACCCCGAAAAGGTTCTTGCCAGCCATTCCTCTTGAACAAGAGAACCTCGTCGGCAGGTCAATAACTCTTCGTCCTGGGCACAACCCCCCGCCCGCCTGACTTCCCCTCGTCTCTCTTACGCACCACGTTCTCACCCCCGACGGCGGCGGCGTCGGCGGCGGCAGCGACCCTTTATCCCGCTTTCTACCAGAATTGGATCTCCGGTCTGAGTCCGTCGCGCGTTAACAATAGCTCGCATCTTAGTCTGCGGATTATCTGCGAAGTAATTATTTGTTTCGCGCGTCGCTCACCCCTTCGGGAGAAAATACAATTGATTCATTAATTTGCCAACAAATATGCACTTCAATATTGATTAATCACGCTATATGAAGCAGCGGCGAGTTCACGAACACTCTTATCGCTCGACGTATTTTTCATGAACCCCGTCAAGTCGTCATTGGCTCTTATCAGCTCCTCATTATCGCCTTGATACATTCGCGTTGATCAAAACACGTTAATTATTCTCAAATACCGAACTAACAATGAGTTACGACACGTAACGCCAAATGTCAAATGTCTGAGAAATATCAAACGATATTTTGAGACACACGTTGATTTGATCCGACAAAAAAAAGATTGTTTGGATAATAGTTCGGGAACGCTTTATTTTGCGCGCGCGGTCCAAAGAGGATGGAAAAGGAAGAAATCCGCGTTGTGTGGATCGTCGTGCATGCATATCGTGTTGCGCAAGCGCAACGAACGCACGTACACGCGTTTTGCATCGCATCCCAATATTCCGCGCTGCATAAAACATCCGCCCTACGATATATTCCGGAGACATTCGCGGAAATATTCTCTGTTTCTTTTTCTCTCAAAGCCGAGAATAGCAAGACCACTTTTCTAAAACAGCGATCAGACGAAGAGAATTCTCGTGTGTGCTCTCTTCTCGTTGGGACAATCATAAATCTTTTGTGTTGCCGCAATAAATGTATGCATTAAAATTCCAGAAATATAACGCACCGAGAGAAGAGAGAGAAAGAGAGAAAGAGAAAGAGAAGAAAACGTGTTATGTATATTTCATCATAAATATACATAAACGTAAAATGTATTCGCGACGTACGAAACCGACCGAGTTTTATCAAAGCGTTCCTTTTTCACGGGATAAAGTGCCTGATCGTTTTCTTTATTATCTATATACGCAATGAAAACACGATAAAATCGTTAAAAGCGAATCATGCTCTCTAATACCCGACGTAATCGGTCCGATACATGTTTATTCATACTTTCCGCGCGACCGATTTGTTTTAGAACAAACACAGGCGAAAGTTGTTCACGCCTTTTCTTCGATTTCCGAATCATATTTTGGGGACAGATATCGCGCGCGCGATTCCACGAGTGCGGGCGCGCCGGGCCGTTTCGCAATCGTTTTGCAATCGCGGTGCGAGAAAATAGGAACGTATATTTTCGGTTCGTTAACCCTGAATGCACGTAACAAACCAGCTGCTGTTGTTGGTTGCAAACCGATACGCACACCGCGATGGTTCTAATTCGCGCGGCGAAACGGACAACGGAGGGCGGTCGCTATAATAACACGCGGTCGGCGCGGCAAGGAACTACCTAATTAAGTAATTAAACGCACAGCTATGCGCCGCGCCGTGCTACGCGGGGATCTGAACACGTAAAGCTCGTGTGGCCGCGTTTATAAGCATCCTCATTAGCCTGTTTGCACTATTTATCGTCAAATCAATGAGCCACGCAACATTCAGCGCTTATCGTACGAATTATCGTGCTCTGTCATTGTAAATCGATTATTTTGCGTCAATTTTGACAAAATATTATCCG